ATTTAACAACTTTAAGTCAACCATTCCTAGACACTGTGTGCACTCGGTATCTGGTAAAATCCATCTGTACACAAACACAGACACACACACGGTTGTCGTCGTACCTCTGGAGTGTTTGTGCGGGAGGCCTGATTATACTCGCTGTCACTGGAGCTGCTTTCTGACTCGTCCGTGTCAGACTCTGAGCTGCTCTCTGATTCACTGCTGCTCCCTGATGCACCACTGAAACAGAAAGAAGAGAATCAACATGTCACAATCTAACAAAACCAAAGCCGGTCCGCTGCGCGCTGAGGGAGTTCACTGATGGACGCCGTCACCGAAAGGCTTCACCTCAAAGCCTCGCATTTTTTATGGTGCCGGACAGGGACATTGACTCGCTGCCTTGCTTTTTGATGTTTTACATGAGCCACCTGGTAGCACAACAATAATAATAATAATAATAATGAAAAAGAAACAATAACAAAAAACCAATGAATTGAAACTAATCAGACCACAAAATTAACGTTTATGCAGACGATGGTCTACTTTATCTTTAAGAAATAATCCACAAACAAAAAGTCTACACCAGCCATACTTACTGTCTAACACTATAAAATTCCAGAATATTAGCTGTTGGCTACCTGAGGTGTTTAATCCTAAAGTCCTCCATTCAGCTTTATTGATTCCAAACTTTCTACAAAGTCAACTCTAAATTAATTTTTCTGCTGCACAAAAACTCAAACCTGTCCTGACTTTTCACTGTCAACTTTGGAGGGAAAATTATTTCCTTACTTGCACTAAATTTGGACACACACAATGCAAATAGGTCTTATATTTACTCTCATTATGTAAATATATCTATATCCATAAATATTTACAGTATTTTCTTAACTAAAGATACTAATACCACAATGTAAAAGTACTCTGTCTGGCTGGAAAACACTGAAGTCAAAGTATTTCAGTATCATCACAAAAATGTACGATTATATGATTAAAAGTCAAACCACACAAGCAGAGAAACGTCACCTCTGACTGCTACAGATCAAATTATTTGACATGCATGAACGTACAAGGAGGGTTTTACTCCTGTAGTTGGTTGAAGTGGAGCTTATTTTGAATGATTTTGTATCCAAATGCAATTAATGACTATTTTCCTGATCTGCTAATTGTTTTCTCCATCAATCTATCGACTGTTTAACGTTCTAAAAATAGTGAGAAATGCAATCAGATGTGACTGTCAAACTGTTTAATTAACTAATTGTTTCAGCTGTACTTGTTTGAACAGTCCGGTGGTTTAATTTATAACAAAACAATTTATTTTATAAGTCCTTAATATGGTTTGTGTGAAAACATTCCAGTTTGTAAAGCAACTGAAGCTGTCAGTTAAATGTAGTGAAATACAAAGTACAGTATTTCCCTGTGACGTGTGAAGAAAATACTCAACTACGGTACTTCAAAGTAAAGAGTAAATATACTTAGTTACATTCCATCCCTGCATGTACGGATACCTGCTTGAAAACTCCTCTAATAAGCTCAACTACACCCTGACGGATTGCTGTTTATATTAACACCAATGAGCCAGCCTGAGTGTTTGCTGAGACGTTTCCTTCGCTGCTCTTAAATGAAGCCCTGAAGTCTTTTCTGACTCATCCTGCCAGTTACAGCCTCAGTCAGTGTCGAGGTTATTTAAGGTGTCCGATGGGTCACGGCTTCTTCTCTTCCTCTGATTTGTTCTCCGGCTTCGGTGTCGAGGTTGTAGCTCCTCGGTTTGATTGAGATAAGCTGTGAGCTCGGATGTTGGTCTGCCATTTCTACAGAGCGGTAAGTAGACAGCTGGACGTCTGCTGTCGGCGTATTTATCAGTCAAACTTTGGCTGGATAGTGCTTTTTAAACAAGCAATAGATGAAACATATAGTTAGAAACCAATACACACCAGAACAACAAAATTGAATGAGACAAAACAGGAAATGAGTCGTGGTATGACAATCAAACTGTTTAAACTAAATGAAATAAAATCCAATAAAACTAATAATAATGATGATTAAATAAGCTAATTAATGATGGATGTCTGTCATGCTAATTGAGTACAGTCTCAGTGAAGCTGCTGTTATGGAAGTGATCCATCAGAGACAGACCTGGACTACGCAGCAGGAACAGGATGAGCTCTAACCTTTATGTGGCTTAACTAAACCAAACACGTCACATCCAACCTTGTTCAGTCCACCCAGAGCTCTGAAGGCTGCTGCCAGCATGTTCACCTAAAAGAGCCGACGTTGGCCTTAGATAACCCAGCGTGGACACGAGAGCTGCCTGTTCCTCACAAGAACAACAAACTATGATCATAAACCAACACGAGGAATTAAGAAATATATAACCAGTAGAAAGCCAAACAGCTGCTCCCGAAAGAGAATCTTACTGAGCTCGGGAGACAAAATTATGATTCTCATTTCAGCCTTGTTTTAGTTTTGATTTTGTCTGACTCTGTCTCATATCTTTTATATATATATATACACAGCGCCCTCCATAATTATTATGTTTAAGATGTGTTTTTAAGCTTCTAGTAAATTCTGTTTCTTTCTAAATAATATGGGACCACAATGAAAAAAAAGAGGAAAGTTCAACCTTTAACTCAAGTGCATTTATTCAGTGTGAAAAAAATCCCACATTAAAGAATAATTCTTTGACATCAAATCATGTGAGCCACAATTATCAGCACCCTTGATGTTAATACTTTGTACAACCGCCTTTTGCCAACAATTCATTTGAGCCAAAGGTTAAATTTTTCTACAATTTTCAGCGTGAGAGTCTGCAATAAAAATGGAATTTATTTTAAGGCTTTCAACACATCTTAACCGATAATTATGGAGGGCGCTGTATGTATATATATACTGAACTGAGTTATATGTTAGTCGAGGTGAGGAATTGTGTCCTTTAAGTCTCAAGTCTCCTGTTGTTAATTGTCCTCCTCTTGTGTCATCTCACCTTTTAGTGAATTTTAGGAGAAAAATACGAGAATCCAAACTAAAATGAGGCTGAAATGAGAACCACAACTTTGTCCTGAGCTTTAGAGGAGCAAGCTTTGAGCAGTGCGTCCCGTCCAGGCCTCAGTCAGAGAGGAAATGGGCTGAGAAACTGCAGACTGTGAGAAAGTAAGTCAACAGTCTTATCAGCATCACTGTCCCGTCGCCACGGCAGCAGCAGATCGGACTGTATTTGGGCTACAATCGTGTATTCCATTACAGTTTTCGCTTAGATGCAGCCTTTTATACGGCATGTGAGGCAGTTTTAGCCTTATCCTCTCAGCTGCAGCCCTTGTGGTGCTAAACACTTTTTAGAGTATATTAAAAACATAATAATTCCAACTTGCATGTGGGCTTACTGCAAATCTCATAAGGTCAACAAGTGCAAGGCTTTAGTGCTTTGTCAGTCTCCTGCTTTAGGATAATACAAAGGCCTATAGAAAAATTCAATTACTTTGCAGTTTCTTGCACTCGACAGAAAAGGGGAAAAAAAGGATGAAAAACTCGAGTTCACGTCACTCAGCATCTTTGTCTGTCATATCTGTGCACCGTAGGTTACCACGGCGATGCAGCCATGGAGGAACCACAGCCCTGAAAACTCCCAGTTAGACCTGAAGTTACCTCACGAAGGCCTCGGTGTTTATTGTTCATTCTTATGGTGGAGTTTCAGTAAATGTCAGCCTTCCTCCTCCTCATATAGACGCACAGTTGGCAGATCTTCACCAGAGCTTCCACAACAGCACATCACTCTCATTTACGCACTACGAGGATGAGGATGAGGAGGAGGAGGGGGAATCTTCTGTTAATAAAGCAAGACCAAGGTAATTCATAATCTCCTCCTACCACCGCAATTAGAGCAACATAACATCAAGCTCTTCAGAAAACAGCAACTAAACTCTCTAAACTGTATAAATTAAATCTTGTTTTTCTGCTCGGTTACGATTTCATCTCAACGTTGAGAAAAGAAAACAATCAAAGAGGTCAAACGCCTTGTAGCTCATTCACTAAAAAAAAAATGACGGAGAATGTAATAAAACGTCTATTAATAAAGGCATAAACACTGCGTTTTGAACCCGTTCGATTGTCTCATCCTCTCTGGTGCTCCGGCTCGGCCTTGTGTTCATCCACCCCTCCACAGTGCTTTAAATGGCCTCCTGGAGGCAACACACAACCGCTCGTCCCGACTTAAGAACACACACAAATGCACTTGCGCACATAGAAATTGCAATTATGTGTAGTTGCCTTTGTGTGTGTGTGTGTGTGTGTGTGTGTGCGCGAGTGTGAGTGTGCACGTAATTTCAGTTCAAGGCTGCCATCACAGCAGGCACCAATCTGTGTGAGCAGTCAAGCAGCAAATCCATCAACTGTTCCTCAGGCAACACACACACACACACACACACACACACACACACACACACACACACACACACACACACACACACACACACACACAC